TTTGTGATTTTCATGTGCCCCAGGTCCCTCGTTTGCCTTTGGGGAGGGGGTAAAGTTTGGTATTGTTTATATAGACAATTCGACAAATGAACAGCCATCACATACTTTTTATCTCCAACCCAACTAATGTGCTAGTAATAGTAACAACCTTAATTCTTTATGAATTATAAAGTCTCCATAGTAACGCTTCCAAGTTCTTACCCTACATGTCTGAAGTGGTTACAAATTGGCATTACAGAGCAAATGTAAATATTGTGTCATGATTGCTTAAATAACCAGGTGAGCGATACGAGCCCCCTGGGCCTCTTGTCTAATTTCTCCCATGGGACAATGGGACTATGCAAACTTTCAACTATGCATATGCATTGAAAAGTGTCATTCTGAGCATCTTAAATGTCATTATTAACCTGTATACTGGAATATACAATTGTTTATATTTTAGATGTTGGTATTCCTGGTGTGAGTATTGTATGATTCCATGAACTCACATCTTGATTTATTGATTAAATTAAATCTACTTGACTTTATAACACTGTCCAGGGCTGGGAGATGTAAAGTGAATTATAAATCTACAATTGGTTATAAAAACCAGTGAAGGCAGTGTGTGTTTAGGGAATCTGAGGAGGAGTAACGTTACAATGTTTATATCCAGACAGCTTATGAGGAGGTTCACCGGCGTAACATTCAGAGCATCCTGATGCCGATGTCGATAGATCCTGTCAGTCCCTGTCTGGTCCTCCACGTGTCGCGTACAAATATTGTGGGAGATACCATCGCCCAGATCATGATGCAAGGGACTGCTGACTTCAAGAAGCCACTGAAGGTAAAAGTTGGATGTGTGAGGGAAATAAAAGTTAAATAACACGATACATGTTAATTAGAGACCATAGGTTTTCATTAAACAATTTAAATTAAAGACACGCATGACTTCATTGAACTAAATATATAAAAGAAACTTAAGTCTTTACATAATATAGAAAGACATGTTTTTCCATTAATCTACATATAAAATTGTGTCAGAGGTAGTGATGTAATAATTCAGTCTGGTTCAAGTAACACACAGCTTACATTTGATTCTCAATTAGTAAAGTTATTAGTTACGTGCCCTGAATGCATTACAAAAGCTTGTTTTCATTGTCAACTTCACCAATAACAAAGGTAGACAATTAGAAAACATGGCACATTGCAGCATCAGTCAGGAGTATTTCTCAAAACAAACTTGGCTGACCAAGCACTAATCGATCCACTGCTATACATGTCAGTCCCTAGTATGTAAGCCTAGAAGGTTTTTTTCTGGCATAATGAAACTTTAGTAGGTAATTCAGTTTTGCAAAATCTCATACAAACCATTTTCAAGCACAGCTATGAATGATCACCAAATGGAAATTTAAAAAAATTGTAATATTATCATAATATTAGAGTTAACCAGCTGTCCATTGTGAAAGAGAATCATATTGATTGAGTACAATATGTATGTTGAGTCTAGCATGATACAGTACAAATATCTATTGTACTCGTATTGATAAAACACAAAAATTTATGCTGAATCTGTAATAATAAAGTACAAATATCTTATTTATATTAAATCTATTTTATCTATATTTATGCTAACGTATACATATATCCTATAACATTGTATATCTGATTTAAGTCGTCTGAGATGATGATAACGATACCCTGATTATAGACAAAGAGCGACTCCTCCATATCGATCATGTCATCTGCTGTGAAATCATTTATTTTCATTGTGTTTTAATTTGGCTGTTTTTAATCACACGTTTTCTGGTTTTATTCTGGTTCTGATAGCACAACCAGTGAAGTGTTTATGTGTGATGTTTTGATGACTAGTATCATAGGTACTTGGTGACCTTCATCAGACAAATCATGTCAGCTTCATTGGATTGGTGACCTTCATCAGGCAAATCATGTCAGCTTCATTGGACATTTGTCTGATGAAAGTGTCGGGTTAAATATCATCAAAACACCACACATAAACAATCCTCAGCTTGTGCTATATGAACCTCTACACAATTCATACTTACCAACCTGAAACAAATGTTTGAAAAAAATACATTTTTGTGTGGTTATAAAGTTGTGGAAAAGTTGTTCCAATCATTTAAATTTTAAAATGAACATGTATATTTTGAGAAATTTAACACATAAAAAGGTACATAATATAGTATAATCAACAGAATAAAACTGTGTTATTCTCATGTACAGTCAGAACCGTCCATATCTATATAAACTGTATGATAATGCTCTGTACTGGTTCAGTACGACCTGTTTTACTGGTCACAAATAGTCATGGATTAAGATTTTCCACAAATATATTCCCTGGAAAATGAATTACATGGAAAAAGAAGGTGACATGCTAATTAGTTTACGGGAGAGTACATTGTATGCCCTGCAGGTCATGTTTGCTGGTGAGGAAGCCATTGATGCTGGAGGGCTGAGAAAGGTTTGTAACTTTAATCCTTCGATGATGAGGTGTTTGTGTGGCCAATTCACTTTCTCTTTGCTCTGTATTGCAGGTGATATTTGTAGGGGAGGAGGCAGTAGATGAGGGTGGTGTCAAGAAGGTGGGCCTTGAGAGCTTAACATCGTTGAGATTCTAACGTCAGTTGTGTATAGTCTACTCATAAATGTACCATAACATTCAACAGAAATGTGGAACTTTTATGCTGTAGTGGAAACTTTAATTTTGATGTATGTCCCACTGTCAGAGTATGTAGTGTAAAGTTTGAAGATTATTGGTGGACAAACATAGCTCTCTAAAAGATATTTGATCCTGATCTATTACATGTGTCAACTTAATTCTGTTATCTTTACTTCTGCCAAAACAGATTGAGTGTCCACAACTGATTAGAATCCCTGCCGTTGTAAAGCCAACTCAGTTCTGTTCATGAATTCTTGTTGTTCTGTTAGTTATACAGAGGCCTAGAATTTGTATGTCACTATAGGTAGCAGAGTACAGTAGAAATGGCTTGATCCTGAAAATAAAGGGCATGTCTCAGATAAACATGGATAGCGGATTTTTTTCTGAAAACCTGTCTTAAATTGAATATCACCTACTTGGTAACAGAAATACTCACGTTTTAGCAGAGGTCGTTCAACTGGATTTTTCACAATATTTACAAATGTGCTGAGTACAAAAATAGACTACAGGAAAAGCTAGTTTTTGTTGTGTAGACACAGATTTGTAAATGGACAAAAATGTAGTCTCAAACCAAATTCGATTTTTTGTTTGTTTTTAAATGTGAAGCCCACATCATTATGTATATGCCAATTTTAGTGCTAATTTGTTTTTTAAACTTTGATACATGTAATATTACATGGGTTATTCATAGTATTTGTTATACTTTTCCTTTTTATTCTCTATACTCTTCTATAGTGAAATTTTTTCGAAATTCCAGATGTTTGCCTCCGAAAAATGTTGACTGGTCAACATCGAAAATTTTAACTGGCTTTGAGTAAAATGTTGACTGCTTACGTCACAGCTCATTACTATTCGGTACTTCCCGGCCATTACAACTTCCGCCGTTAAGCAATTACATGTACCAATAGTGGCATCCCTATAGGAAGTATTGCTCACGTCTGCTTCCGGCCGTCTGCAATGTTTATGGATGTCGGCTGCCTTATGTACAATCATGGACAGATTTGTGGAATACACTGCTGCAGAAATTGATGAAATTCTTAATAACAGAGACAGTACAAACACCAAGAATGTGATCAGAGTTGCAGAGAAATTAATAACAGAGTATATTGAAGCAAAGCACAACGCATTAGCACAGGATTTTTTTCAAGATAAATCCAAATTGGAAACGTCAGAAATTTTGAAAAAGTTATAACAAAACATTTGTAGACTGAGTTTTCGGTCAACATGTGTTATGTTGAACCCTTGGACCAAACTGTTGCCTTCAGCCTTCGGCCTCAGGCAACAGTTTGGTCCTCTGGTTCAACATAACACATGTTGTCCTCAAACCCTGTCAACAAATGTATAATGTTTCACAGGACTTAGCCTAGCCTATATATATATTATGCCAGTGAAAAATTACAATCCCCTGCCATTTCAAGTTTCCTCCTTTGTTCTGGGTTAATTTGTTGGTGTTAATCTTTTAAATAACAATATATGAGTGTGTTTTATACCTCCACCAATTCATATCTGTCCTGGTGTTTTATACCTCCACCAATTCATATCTGTCCTGGTGTTTTAGAAATTATTTCTTGCATTCAATATTTGGTCTTTAAAACTTCTCGGAGTATTAATTGAGTTAATTTAAGCACACCTTCTTGAAAGTCAAGTTTTAATTGTTGTTTGTACTACCGGTATAATAATGAAGTTTCCTATCTATTTCGCTTATCTCTTCAAATTTCTGCTAAACAATTTATACAGGTCTTGCATTACTTCTTAAGAACCACTGAATGGAATTTAACCAAATTTGACTAGAAGCACCCATAGACAGACAGGATTAGAAATTGTACAAATAGTGGGGCCAACCCCAGGGGTCTTAGGGGAAGTGACAAAAGGATAATTTCACAAGGGTCTTAGGGGAAGGGACAAAAGGATAATTTCACAGGGGTCTCAGGGGTAGGGACAAAAGGATAATTTCACAGGGGTCTTAGGGGTAGGGACAAAAGGATAATTTCACAGGGGTCATAGGGCTAGGGACAAAAGGATAATTTCACAGGGGGTCTTAGGGCTAGGGACAAAAGGATAATTTCACAGGGGTCTTAGGGCAAGGGACAAAAGGATAATTTCACAGGGGTCTTAGGGCTAGGGACAAAAGGATAATTTCACAGGGGTTTTAGGGGTAGGGACAAAAGGGTAATTTCACCATAATATAGCTGGAGAAGCTTTTTTTCTGGAACAAAGAGATAAATATCAACTATTTTTAGTTAGATGCATTCAAAGGAGGTTTGGATTTAAAGTTGTGCGAATCGAAAGGCAGAGCCCTGTAGGGCCTAAAAGTATTCATAATATTGAAACAGATGAGATTCCAGCCCCACCATCATATATACAAATGCTGAGCATAAAAAAAGACAAACACTGTTCAGTCGTGTTATCAGAATTTACCGTACATTCTGGCTAACCTCCCAGGGACTTAGTTTCTAGGTCACAACTTTCTAGGTCACAACTTGGAAACAGTTGACATCCCCACTCTAGAGCCATAGTACAGATATGCTAGAATAATCAAGACATTCTAGCAGGACTGGCTGACGAGTCCCTTTGTCATAACTATGAAATGTTCCTCCTCATAATCATATATGCAATTGCTGGGCATAGTAATTCTAATACAGGTTTACTACCAGAATTGGCCTCATGGTCTATCCCACCCATGGTAACTTAGTGTCGGGGTCATAACAGGGAAATGGTTGAGACCCCCACCCTTTAATCACATGAACACAGTCATGCTACCAGAATTGGCCTTAGGGTTTGCCTACCCTTTGGGGACTTAGTCATTTGGTCATAACATGGAAATATTTGAGATTTCCACCTTACAACAATACGTAGAAACATAAATGTCCTCTCGGCCTCTTGTGTGTAGTGGGGTGTTGTTCATCTGACACTAGTATTTTGTGTGAAATGGAACCTTTGCACACTATCATTACCAAGACAGTGAGTTCCTGCCTGTAAACTTCAGGACATTTACACCATTCTGTTGTGTCAAATTCTTTTCAACATAACTTTTTGTGTTTTTGTTTATAATTTACTAATACCTAGCTAAATAACCTGACAAGTTAATGTAAAAAAAGGTGTGTTTATGATATAAAACCCTTGTTCATAATTCACAGGTATTTGGTCAATTATTAATACATGTAAAATATCATGGCTATAATATTAATATGAACTTTTTTAATTGTGTATTAAAACAAAAACATACACATGGAATTGATGATATATTTGTTCTCTTCTAAAAATACAAAATGTCATAAATTGTGAAATGTTAAATTCTTCTCTGGTTACTTTAAAGCTTTAGATTTTAATTTGTAAGAAGAAATAAAAGTATCAGAAAGAAGTAAATTTCTTACATAATATGATCAAAGATTACGTAGATCATTTAGTGTTTAGAAATAGACACATATCAATCTAAAAGGGAACAAGGGCAATTTTCTAGTCATTAGGTAAATGTATTTAGTTTGATTTGGTTGTATGATCAATTTGCTATTGAATTACAGGAATTTTTTCTGCTACTGCTTAGAGAAGTCCTAGACCCCAAGTATGGCATGTTCAAGTACTATGAGGATTCCCGTGTTTACTGGTTCAATCCTATGGTGAGTCACATGTTCAGGTTTTACGAGGATTCCTGTGTTACTGGTTCAATCCTATGGTGAGTCAGATGTTCTGGTATTACAAGGATTCCGGTGTTACTGGTTCAATCCTATGGTGAGTCACATGTTCAGGTATGACGAGGATTCCACTGTTACTGGTTCAGTTCTATGGTGAGTCAGATGTTTAGGTATTATGAGGATTCCCGTGTTACTGGTTCAATCCTATGGTGAGTCACATGTTCAGGTATTACGAGGATTCACATGTTACTGGTTCAACCCTATGGTAAGTCGCATGTTCAGGTATTGCAAGGATTCCCGTGTTACTGGTTCAATCCTATGGTGAGTCACATGTTCAGGTATTATGAGGATTCCCGTGTTACTGGTTCAATCCTATGGTGAGTCACATGTTCAGGTATTACGAGGATTCCTGTGTTTACTGGTTCAATCCTATGGTGAATCACATGTTCAGGTATTACAAGGGATTCCCGTGTTACTGGTTCAATCCTATGGTGGGTCAGATGTTC